TTTTTCAGAAATCAAGCAGATGAAGTTGATTTTTCATGCTTTCCTAAAGAGATGGCTCAATTCATGGAGAAGCAACCCAAGATGTGATTTTAAATTAATTTTCATATGACTCTTGCAAAACAAACTGCAAAGGTTTCACATTGTCCAACTCCCAACCCTTAAACAAGTAAAACTAAAATGTTAATTTGCTTTCCAACAAAAAACATTGCTGCCAGAACATCTGCGCATTTTTACTTTTTTCTTCTTCCTTTTTGGTCTACTCCTAAGCAGGTAACACAATACTTTTATCACATGACCAAGTGGATATTATAATAATTATATGTTAATAATAATAACATATAATTATTATGTTATCTGTTGCAATCAAGAAAAACATATTTACTCCTTGTGAAAGAAGTTGATTGCCACTGATGTCTTTATAATATGATGACGAAGCTGAGAACAGAAATCATAGATCAGGCTAGAATGAAAATGGAATTAGGGCTCAACACCTAAGTCCTTTTCAATCAGAACACAATGCTTTAAAATAATTTCACCAAGTTGATTCTTTATACTTACTACAAATTTCTAAAATACTCCTCCAGTACCAAAGCTTTTGAACACGATGGGTAGGCACCTCTGTGCCCATTTCATAAAGAGGAAGGTATTTTCCAAGGGGTCCCATATTCAGCAAGTTACCAGGAAATTAAGTAATTTAAGTATCAAGTACATGATGAGGGCATTGATATCAAGAACATTACTCAACAATTAAGTAACAACTGTTTCTCATTCAAGAGGAGTTAAATTCCCTCTACCCCCAAACAAACAGACAACAACATACCAACCAGATTCTCCACCCATCCTATAATCCATTCAGTTTTGTCTCCTTCCCCAGATAACCTACAAAGCTAGGCAGGAAGCACGCGAAGCATGCCTTAGAAGCACAAACCCAACGATTTTATTTCCCAAGATCTGCACTTCTCCTTAGCAGTTAAATAACATCATATAACAAGGGTAAGCAAGCATAAATACAAGAAAAAAATAAAAAACAAACCCAACAAACCACAACCAAAAAACCAACACATATTTTGCTATGCTACTAAGACAACATTGATCACCTTCAAAATGTCTCTGCCTTCTGCAGTACTTCTCTCTGCAGCAATGATGGCATTGATGGCAATGTGGTATTACAGGAGTAAGAATATCCAAATTACACTAGCATGCACACACACAAGCCCCAGATAATTCATAAAACATACACTGCCTCACAGCTAAGATGCAGAATAAACTGCATGCATAAAATTTATGAAGCATAGGTAATATATGCTGCCAAACCTCCATTCATCACAATTTCTACCTAATCCAAAATGCTCCACATCTTCCTAGTCTAACAGAAACTAATTGCTCTTTCTCCCATGTAATTTATTTATATCGTAATTTTGTCTAACCTCGATGACCTTCGTGAACTGGAAATACATGCATGCCTAAGGGGTATTTATTCTGAAGGATAAAATGACCATGCATGTAGAATACATATACCAGAACAAACTAATCATCAAATCAAAGAAGCATAGAACAGTTTGGGCTGGAAGGGACCTTAAAGCTCATCTAGTTCAACCCCCTGCCATGGGCAGGGACACCTCCCATTAGACTAGGTTGCCCAAAAGCCCATCCAACCCAGCCTTCTCTGGGCAACCTGTTGTAGTGCTTCACCACTCTCACAGCAAAGAATTTCTTCCCAATATCTAATCCAAATCTCCCCTCTTTCAGATTAAAGCTATTCCCCCAGATTTCTTGTAGGCCCCTTTTAGGTACTGGAAGAGTGTTATAAGGTCTTCCCTATAACAGACTATAGTGGCCATATATTTATTTATATATGTATGCGGGGAGCTTCTGTATAATATACTTGAGATTTTATGGAATTATTTAAGTTAACAAGGACCTTATGTAGTCACAGAGCTTAATAGCTTTTGAATCCAGCACTGTTTAAAGAGAACTACTGAAATTTATCCAAAAATTACTATGCAGAAGCAATCCCTTCTGGCAACACTGACAAAACAGGCAGAACATTCAGGTCCTAAAGAGTAAACTACGTGTAAAAGTAAGACATCTTTTAACTACATTAATTACTGGGCAATTACATATTCTTTAGTCAGCAAAATTCTCAATGAAGACAAGCTTGCTTGACTAAAGTCAGCAAGAAAAAGCTTGCATATTTGAATAATAACCATTAGTACTCTCTACCTACACTCAATAATAGCACTAAAAACCCCAATGCCTTTAACAATTTAAAGTTTCAGGTAATTACTATAAGTTTTTGCAGAGACGTTAAGAAAAAATTATGCCAATGAACAACTTCAGCTAATCCATTAATTTTTTAAAATATCAGAGTGTTAAAAAAATATTAACAGAAAAATCACAGCTATTTTTCTTCACTCATGATGAGTAGTACGTTATGCTACTTCTACAGTCAAACCACTGTTTTCCCAGGACAAATACTGCTGAGTGCACAATTTATATGGAAAATTATTATCATAAAACATTTCACTAAATAAGAACAAAGAAAATACTTTCTTTTCTTTTAATCCAAAATGCCAAAATAATTTTAAGAAATTCAAGCCTAGAGCACTTAATGAGAGCCTGGCTGTCTGTCACCAGAATGCTGAATGGGAGGTGCAGTCTGCCAGAAAACAACTAAATTTGACTATGCAAACTGTTGGTCTCCTTTCACCCTTCCCTCACTTTTGTATTTAGCGTGTGGTTTTGTAATTCAAGCCAAATGGAGGAATCAGGATTGGATTAATAAACAAAAACTATATAGTAGCCTCTACTGTAACTAAGATACTTCCAGTGTTCTATACTTCGTGAGTTTTTTCCAATTTCAGATGTTCCATAGTCATTTATAGTTTAAGCAGGTTAAATACAGATATGTACATTTTTCCATGGGATCCAGTGGTGGCATACAAATAAATAAATTTCATTTTTTTAAAAAAATAAAGACTCTTATTTATTACCTAGACTTCTAAATTAGATACTGTAATCAGATCCCACTGTATTTCATGCTTTGATGAAATTTGGACAATTGAACCATACCTGCTACATGAAGACAATCATTTAAAATACAAATGTGTTAGTTTTTACATCTTTGCTAACTTTTTTTTTTAAGAAAAATTATTCAGGTACGTTAGAAATATAATAATTTCTGAGTGTGTTTTATGTGTATCATATAAATCAATTGTAGTAAAGTGACCTAGATTTTTTTTTTATTATTTTTGAGCACTCCTGCTACTCAGTATTGTTTACGGAACTTTGATATGCATCCATTTTACTAAAGCATGTCTTTAATACAGTTCACAATAAGCAGATTAATTAACTTCCTAAATCCTTAAACACACTCTGGAATACATTAAGGCATGTGAAAAAGTTTTGCAACCTTTTACTGATAAATTCATTTTCTAGACAGTATTACGTTGGCCCCTTTCAAACGCATGACAAAGATGGTTTACTTCTGAAAGTGTGCACTGAAAGTATGAAGGATTTATATTACATATTTTCCATTTGCTATAATTAAAAAAAAACAAACAACAAAGCAACAAATAAAAAACACAACTCATATCTTTGCTTAACCATGAGTGTTATCACTCCAGCAACATACCTGCGTATGTATATATATATCACGAGACAGAGAGAGCACATGCACTTGTTTTTAGCTATCAAAACAAAAAGTATCGATGCATGCCAAAGTCTTCAAAGCCCCCAGTCAATTTAAATACAAGTTTCCAAAATAAATATAATTTGCCTCTATTTTCGAAATTTTCAGGCACCTTAATTCCTGTCTCTTATCCTTTTAAAGAAAATATGTTTCTAAACCACTATTGCTCTCTCAACCCTAACAAAAGGCAAGTCAGGCCCCTTTATAAAAGCTAAAGGCAATTCATGCATGCTTTTATAAGGATAACTCCATCAAATCTCAGGTACCTTCAATATTAATAGATAGCTGTATCACACACTTTTTAAACACTAGGAAAAACTAGGAAAAATGTATTCACAGAAATCTTAAAACAGAATCTATTTTTTATCTTCTAATATTAAATTGAATTATGAATTTCTATGAAATTCAAATTATGAATTTCTATGAAATCATATGAAATTCTAACATTAAAATGAATCCGATCCTGGAGTATCAGTATCTCATTTTATCATTCATCATGCCATAATTAATATTCAATTTCTGTATGAATAATTTTTAAGTGGACTGTAACTTTTAAAATCAGTTTCTGAGAACCTTTCCACAGTCACTTTATGTTACCATAGTACCATACATTAGTGCTAATCAACTGTGCAAGAACTTGTCCAGAAAAAGAGAAGTAAACCAAACTATTCAGCTTCCCACGTAACAGATAGAAACATGAGAAAACCCTGAGAACCCACCAGCAGAACATATCACAGGCCACAAGACTTCTCTGGAAACCAGCATTTCAAACTAAGTACAACTTCTCTTTAATCTACAGTTGATCAGGCCAAGATTCTGATTTTCAGTCCAGCAGCTTAGAAGCATGATGACTGTGGCATATATATCACATGGAAAGCTCTTTAGAAGCTCTGCCTTATGTCAGAAGTTGCACCCCATGGAAAGTCCTTTTAAAAGCTTAACTGGCAAGTGCATGTTGAAATATTTTGTTTTCCATCTAAAACTACACTAAATTCCAATCCTCAGAGACAGGATTTCCAGTTTATTTCTCTTTATACACACATACTAAACTCAAGAACTGTAACAGAGGAAAGTGTTGTTAAAGTTTTGAAAAAAAGAATAAGCCTAGTGCAAAGAAGTTGACTGTAGGTCTTTTTCCTCGGAATTTTCTCTTAAAAAAAAAAAGAAAAAAAATCACTGTTCTGTGAGAAAGAAAAGATATTTAAATGAAAACATAGATATTTAATATAAAAGGATACTAAAACAAATTCAATGCAAAGCAATTCCAATCTTTCTCTAAAACTCAAGACAAGTGAAATGAATTCTGGCAGTGTGTTCTGGCAAACTATTTAATGAGGAAAAATTAAACGGTAAAGAACTACAAGGCCAAGTATTGGCAATAGTACACAGAATACCAGATAGCTTTTACCTACATTCAGCTTATTCAAAAGCCTTAAGGAGACATCGAAGGAGCTTAACATTATGTAGTACATTACTTAGTATATTTAGCAGGTTTTTATTATTTATTTACAAGCTAACAGAACTTCAGATTCTAGAGCATGTACAGAAAACACTGTAAGCAAAAAAAAAAAAAAAAGTTTTTCATGGTACTAGATGAGAAGTTTCAAACAGATCAAACTATCATCAATATTTTCCTAATTATTTGTTATATGTACTTCGCGTCTCCCACTCTATGAAGACTTCAACTGCTATTAAAGTAAGGAAAAGACAGGTCTTTCTTATTCTTCTCCTTAAAATCTGTTTTGTTCAAAACTAATTTACAAGCAAATCATTCTTCTGATTAAACATAGGCTCTTGCACTGGCAAAATGATTCAACACCACCTTCTTCACCAATCCATTCCTTGCAAGAAATTACACTGTAGCTAAAACTAAAGCAAATGCAATCAATAACAAGCAGAACATAACAGCAGTCTGTTGACTTCTGTGGCTCTGAAACATTTGAAAATGAACCATTCCACAGAACCTGTAGTAAAAAACAGAAGAGTGGTGGCTTAAGAATGAATTTAGCTGCTTGTCTTTACTTGCAAAGGGCATCTATTCATATTTACTTAGACACCAAGACCGTTTCAAAAGTGTATTTTTAGTACGGACTTCTAAATCGATATCCAAAGCAGTTCAGTTTTGGTTTAGCACTTTTGCAGCTCAATTTGACTAAGTTTGCCATTACCACTGCAAACTGACCTAAGGACTCATTTGTCACACCCACTAAATAACCATCTCAGAGGTTTTTCAGAAATATTAACAGAAAAGCACAACCAGTGCTATTTTCCTTTGTATAAAGAATTACTTTTGCTGGCCTGGAAAACAAATGACTAGCAATGAAACAAGTACTATTTTAATGTCCCCTACCTGAAGTTCAAATTAGTTTGGTCCCTCAACTAGCTACAACAACCTGGCATCACAAAACCATTTCCAAACCTTTGGAACTTTTGTATTTTGAATCTTCAAATTTTAACTGCAGCCTAGCACACTTAGTTGGTGTCATCTGTTATTACCTACCCTCTCCCACACACTAATTCTCACAGATATCACTTACTTAACATTCAAATTCACTTCCTTCACTGATCTAAAAGGTCTCTGAATATAAATTTCACTGCTCATTGTGTAACTAGTGCAGCCCGCTTACTCCATGTAGTATCGGTTGCATGATGTGTAGAGGAGACCCTGCCTTTGAACATCCAGCCCAGCATGGACAACTGGGGTGCCAGGAGGAGCTGTGCTTCAGTGCTAATCACTTCCAAAGCAGCTCAAGCCCCTTCACAGGCTGCCAGTCTCTCTTCTCAGCTGGGGTAGAGCTGGCCTCAGATCCTTTGTATCCCTGACTCCAAAAGCCGAGGGGTCGACCTCTAGTCTCCCCTGGAGCTTTCTGCCGGAGGCTCCAGGTAGGACCGTTCTCCCCAGCTGCAGTGTACAGTACATTTTTTACATCTGGCCCGTCTGGACTGGTCCAAGGGCTACTGCGTGAACTATCTCTCGTTTAATTTGCTCAAAGGCTGATTGTTGCTCAGGGCCCCATTTAAAATCATTCTTCTTCCGGGTCACATGATAGAGAGGGCTTACAATCAAACTGCAATTTGAGATGTGCATTCTCCAGAACCCCACTGCACCCAAGAAAGCTTGTGTTTCTTTCTTATTAGTTGGTGGAGACATTGCTGTTATCTTGTTGATCACATCTGTGGGGATCTGTCTACGTCCATCTTGCCATTTTATTCCCAAAAATTGAATCTCCTGTGCAGGTCCCTTGACCTTACTCCGTTTTATGGCAAAACCGGCTTTCAGCAGGATTTGGATTATTTTACTCCCTTTCTCAAAGACTTCTTCCACTGTATCGCCCCACACAATAATGTCATCAATGTATTGCAGGTGTTCTGGAGCTTGCCCCCTGTTCCAGTGCAGTCTGGATCAGTCCATGGCAGATGGTAGGGCTGTGTTTCCACCCCTGGGGCAGTCAGTTCCAAGTGAACTGGACACCCCTCCAAGTAAAAGCAAACTGTGGCCTGCACTCTGCCGCCAAAGGAATTGAGAAAAATGCATTGGCAATATCAATCGTGGCATACCACTTGGCTGCCTTTGACTCTAGTTCATACTGAAGTTCTAGCATGTCTGGTACGGCAGCACTCAATGGTGGTGTGACTTCATTCAGGCCACGATAGTCTACTGTTAGTCTCCATTCTCCGTTAAGACTTTTGCACTGGCCATATGGGGCTATTAAAGGGTGAGTGGGTCCTACTGATCACTCTTTGGTCTCCAGTCTATGGATCAGCTTATGGATGGGAACCAGGGAGTCCCGGTTGGTGTGATATTGCCGCCAGTGCACTGTTGTGGTCGTGACTGGCATTTGTTCTTCGACTTTCAGAAACCACACAACAGAAGGACCTTCTAAGTGACCAGGCAAGGTGGACAGCTGCTCAATTTCCTCTGTCTCCAAAGCAGCAATACCAAAAGCCCATCAGTACCCTTTCCGGTCTTTGAAGTACCCTCTCCTTAGGTAGTCTCTGCCGAGGATGCATGGAGCCTCTGGACCAGTGACAATGGGGTGCTTTTGCCGTTTCCTCCCAGTTAGGTTGATTTCAGCCTCCAGTACAGCCAACTCGAGGGATCCTCCTGGGTTCCACCCCTTGACGGCTTGATGGCATCAGGGTACATGAAGTAGGTTTTCCATCCCACTTCATCATGTCTTCTCCGTGATCCCACAGGTAAAACCACAGGGTGGCCCATGGCGTATACCTTCTGTATGTTCTCTCTCAAACGCCTTTTGTTAATAGCTGAGACGTGCGTTGGTGAGGAGCTGGATAAATCAGACAGATCGTCTCTCAATTGTTTGAGATCCTGGGACAGTTTTTCCACAGCTGAGATGATGGAAGGGGTGAGATTGTCTTCGACTCTCGGAGTTTATGAACCATTTCATCCACTGTTAGTGGTACTATGTCATTCCAGGTTACTGTTGCTAATGAGCGGGCATATGATGACGGTGCATTCCGTGTCAGTTTTCGCCATATGGGTCGTGTACATTCGACTTCATCAGGGTCTACGGGTATATTCCTGTTACTCGGCTTGATGTGATAGAGCATCTCTACAATGGCTGATTCCCTCAGAGACTGGATGCCTTTGTCTAAAGTAGTTCACTTGGCTGAACGACTGATAACATCGTCCTTGTATGGAAACCTTTCTTTCACAGCTGCCAAGAGCTGCCTTCAAAGGTGAGGGACTTTTTCTCTCTTGCAATGGCTTTGTCAAGGCCCCCTTCTCTAGAGAATGATCCCAGCTGCTTCACTTCTATACCTTCTAGTTTATGACCGTTGGCACCATTGTCCCAGCATCAGAGCAAGCAGATGATGATGTGCTCCCCTGGTTGACAGGTAAAATCTTTTTGCATATTCCATAGCTCAATTGAGGTCCGAGGTAGAGAAGTCACCTCTTCTTCTTCGTCATGTGACGATGACTCCTAATCAGATGCTGGCCCAGGTGGTGAGTACATTGTTTCTTCATCTTGTTTCATCTTTCTTGCCTCTTTTTTGCTTTTCCTCTTGCGTACAGGGGCAACCGATATTGGTACAAATTGGTCCTCTGGTTTGGCTGCAGTAATTATCACTGTGGTTTGAGTAGCGACTGTACTTGTCGCTAGGGGTGGTGTAGCTGCTGTGCTTGGAGCTGGGGTAGTTGTGCTGTCTGTTGCAGTTGAAGTTTGAGTGGGTGCGGTACTTGTTGCTGGAGTAGCTACGCTGTCTGTTGCAGCTAAAGTCTGAGTAGCAACTGTACTTGTCACTGGGGCTGGTGTAGCTGCTGTGCTTGGAGCTGGAGTAGCTGCACTGACTGTGGCTTTGCCACCAGATCCAGGGACATTTTTTTCCTTTTGAAGGTGCTGGACAGTGTTGACCAAAGCTCTGTAAGCATAGGCCAAGCACCAGCATGTTGCCATGACTTGTCCATCTCTGGTACGGCCAGAATGACAACACACCTCATTTAAGTGTTTTCCTAATTTTTCTGGATTTTGCACTTGTTCAGTGGTGAAATTCCAAAGCACTGGAGGGGCCCAGTGCACTAGATACTTGCCCATACTATCCCACACACCCTGCCACTCATAACTGTCCAGCCTCAGGGAAAATCTCTTAGTCCTCCTATATCGTCTGTCTAACCCCAGACAAGGCCCAAACCCGACTCTGCTTAACTCTTGGGACCAGACAAAACGGTAAAATGGTGACGGGCAAAACACACTCTGTATGCGTGCCAACATGGTGATCCCCATCACAATCAGCAAACAGGTCTCAAGGGTATTTAAAGGTCATTCAAAACCTTCAAAACTCTAAAATGATGCTGTAAATGGTCGGGAAGGGGTGGGGGGGGGGGTATAATTTTATTGTATTACAAGTCATTACCATAAAGTACAATGAGACAAGAACCTTAGCCCAAAAGCCCCAGCCGATAAACGTTAACACAGCAAATACTGGCTGTAAGTAAGGTATGACATACTGAAACTGTGAAATCAGGAACAACAACTTTGAGAGCCAATAAATCAGCATTGTGAAGAGTGACTATTAATCCAAAACAGTTAATGCTTATCACAAACACGATTAGACACACTCTGGTCAGACCTGTCATTATCTCAACCCTCTGTGCCCCACGTTGGGCACCAAAAAGAACTGTTGTGGTTTAAGCCCAGGCCGTAAGTCAGCCATGCAGCCCTCTTGCTCACTCTCCCCACTTTCTCCCTCCCCCCACCCCCACCCCCGTCACTCCCAGAGGGAAGGGGAGGAGAATGGAAAGAAAGTAACTCCCACGGGTTGAGGTAAGAGCAGTCCCATAACTAAGGTATAACACAGATCACTACGCTACCACCAATAATAATAATGATAAGGGAAATAACAAGGGAAGAGAATACCCAGCCCAACCCGAGAAATGAACCAATCCTTCCAGGTAACTCTCAGTTAAACCCTGGTCATGATGTGCTATGGTACGGAATACCTCTTTGGCTAGTTTGGGTCAGGTGTCCTGTCTCTGTTTCCTCCCGTCTTCCCCTCCTCCCTGGCAGAGCATGAGACACAGAAAGTCCTTGGTCAGACTAAACATCTGAGCAGTAACTAAAAACATCAGTGTTATCAGCGTTGTTCCCAGGCTGAAAGTCAAAAACACAGCACTACACCAGCTACTAAGAAGGAGAAAAACTGACTGCTACTGCTGAATCCAGGACACCATCATACCAACGGATGTCTTCTAGAAAACAATCAGAACTGTTCATCTCCTCATCACCTAAAAAGTTTATATATTACTGAGTAACAGTGTCTTTGAAATACCAAAACTGAAGTCTATGGCTGCTTAGAAAACAGAAAGGCATAAAACACATTTCAAAGGAACACCAATTGTCCTTCTAGCTTTCCCTGATCAGAGAAGGCTATGCAATGTATTTCTTCCCTTAACTCCTAACTAAAAGAGGTTTTGAGGACCCAGGATTTTACCTTTCTGAAAAAAAATTATTCAAACCAGCTCACTCATATTCCTTTTCTTTGTTAGCAGTGTCAGTTGCTTTTATATCTGAAGTCCTATATCAGACGTGCCTAGAGTTCTTCATCAAAAATACACACAAAAAGACATTCAAAATACCAAGTCTTTGACCCAGCTGCTCTTCCACCCAACTAAATGTGTACCAAAGTCTAACATCTCCACCATACAGAATTGACTAAATAATGGCCAAAAATAAAATTAAAAAAACTCAAAAATAAAGAACACTGACAGACAGTCCTGAAATTTTAAATTTATCTTACAGTTACTAACAAAGCAGCTTTGTCAACACAAATGGAAATCATAGGTATGACCTGGCCAGCTCCTCAACTGAAACTGGACTGAATTTGGACCACTGATTCTAAAGTGATGATTCTGAACCCCCATCACTAAGTCCCCAAGGCGTTCTGATCTGCCCTACCCTCATCCTTAAGAAGGTCATTATAAACAGTTTTAGAAAAACACATACAAGTGTACACATATCAAACCCTTTCCACTTTCTTGCTACTACTCATACAGTAATAGCAAATATAATGTAGAAAAGGAATGAAAACTGACTTTCACAGACCACAGATTAAAACACTGCCTTTCGGAATTCCATACAAGGACTGCTGTAGCAAACAAGGCAAAAAAAAGTGTACCTACCAAGGAGATAAAAACTCGTCTCAACAGCAGATAAAACCCAACCTGGAAATCTAACCTGGAAATTATCACCTTATGAACAAAATATATTTACCAAATTCCAATATAAACTTATTTACTCCATTCCATAAAAAAGAACTTCCATTTGATGGAGAGATACAGCTTCTGCAGTAATATTTATCTGGTTTTAAATACTGATAACTGCATTCTAAAAACTCAATGAGCATCAGAAATACAAAAAAATCAACTTAGAAAACATTTAGAAAGACTCTTAGAAAGTCCAGTGTCCCTTAATTATTTTTAGGAACAGAATCTGCATGAGCACATGATGACATAATCCTCCTAATGTTTTCTCCACAGGCTGTTAAATGCAAATTATAGTCCACATCCTCTGCTTTTCTGTGCAAGTGGTCCTCTAAGGTTAAATTAGATTGACAACTGCCAAAAAATATATATTTTTGAATATTTAGTCTAAAAAAAAAAGCATTTTAATAAAAAATGAGATGTATCAATTTTTTTTTTACATTTCGTTAATTCATTACTAGTAACATTAATGAGACACAAAATCATTGCAAAGCATTCTGGAAACAGTGACAATAAGTACGAATTCTACAATAATAAACTGAAAACTGAAATCTACCACACTTTCAGGAACAGCTAACAACTCTGTGGCACTCCACAACCCATTTTTAAAATGAAGCCAACTCATCTTGGAACTGGGGGGGGTGGGACAACGGGACATGACAAGGAGAAAAAAGAAGAAATTAAACACATTTTGCCTGCTGTATATTTTTCATAAATTTCCTAAAGTGATGCTTTACTATATAGTCTGAATCAAACTGGCATCAGCTCATATAACTACATACCACATGTGGCTTTGATGTTACCATCAAAAGATGGTTACCAAAAACTAGATGATCTTAAGGTCCTTTCCAACCCTAACGATTCTATGATTCTATTCTATGATTCTATTCTACCATTCCCTTTAGGTGCTGACCTTAAACCACAAGAAACCCCATTTATCCATTGAGATTTCCAAAGCTTTACAGTTTCTTCAGCATTACAGAAGATATGTCTCTTGTATATATGTAGACAGAGAAATCAGGAGCCCAATTCTTCATCTGTAGGAAGCACCTACATGCCATAATCTTTAAGGATATACTTTGCCCAATGAAGGCAGAGGGCAATCCTCAAGCAATTTCTAGTTCTCTAAAAATAGACTTTACAGACTGTAACTGTAGCCTTAAAATTAGTAGTTTTCCAACTGGAAGAATTTTGGTTTGGATGTTTTGTACCTTAACATGTGCTTGCACACCCTATACCCTTCCTTTCCAAAGAAAATAGTTTTTAATATTGTCAGTCTTTAGTGTCAGTTTCCAACTGTATTCCATGGAGAAGCAGACATCTACATTCCAGTACAGATTGTTTTCCCCTGTGCAGTATCTACTACTGATACTGATAATCCAAAGGGAAGGTGAATAGAAGCAAGAGTCACAATTTAGAACCACCCCTGCTAACAGTGCAATTATTTTGTCAGTGTCGCATTAATTGCCCAAGATTTTAGATCTTTTTTTTGCGAAGTTAACACCTTAGTTTGAACATGCTTGATTTTCTTACAAATGAAACTTAGACCTTTGTGCAAATACAACAGAAGACATATTTTATATCAACTGAAATGAGGCACTTAAACAAATGTCATTTCCAGGTTCTTCTCTGAAAGACATACAAAAATGGAGTTGTGATCACTTCAATGTCAAATGGGAAAAATGTTTGTCTTCTTACACAGGGATGAGAAACATTTTTCTTTCCGAGGATCCAAAACACCTTTATAAATATTATGTCCATTCCCCTAGCTCTGTTTCAAGGGCTTAAGAACTTGAATAGGCAGCATCTGTAACAGTGTGGTCAACACAAAATATTAGCCTCATGTATGCAAACAAAGGCAGACAGATGTCACATCCAGCTGCTGAAAAACTGCAGAAGAGTTCTGTAGCTAAAAATACCCTAAAAATTTCTTTAGGAATATCCATCAACACTTTCTCAAATATGTGAAGTAATAAATTTAATTCATTTTCTTTTAATTCAAGAAGTCCTCTCTGATTGCTTAAGAAGAAATTTGTGGGTATGCAATTCTGCTTCACCAACCATACCCTATAATAGAATTTATATTTCTAAGCCTTGGCTTCATCATAAGAGTGAACAGAACCCTCAGAATTCTTTTCAGTCACTCCAAAAAGAAAACTGTCAGCTGCCCAGTGTAACGACAAAAAGCTTGCTATGTAAGAAAACCAGAATCCTTCATACTGGTCAATCCCAAACTTTTCAGAAAGAAAGAATATGAATTCTTAACTGTATGTTAAGAAAATCTAGATACTATGTTATTCTACATTAAGAAAATTACAAATCACTTTATTCCTTTCTGTAAAAATAGCATGACTTCTGGAGACTCAGTCTGGAAAGCAGATATCATTGCTTAAAGACAAAGTGATAAAGGAAGACTAAGGCTGCAATAGGCCTCATTTAAAAGCTAAATCCATTTTCTAATTTTAAAGGTATTTATTTTTGCTAACAGAAGCAAGGATTATTTCCACATAGAATCATAGAATAGTTAGGGTTAGAAAGGACCTTAAGATCATCAAGTTCCAACACCCCTGCCATGGGGAGGGACACCTCACACTAAACCATATCACTCAAGGCCTCGTCCAACCTGGTCTTGAACACTGCCAGGGATGGAGCATTCTCAACCTCCCTGGGCAACCTATTCCAGTGCCTCACCACCCTAACAGGAAAGAATTTCCTCCTTATATCCAACCTAAACTTCCCCTGTTTAAGTTTTAATCCGTTACTCCTTGTCCTATCACTACAGTCTCTAATGAAGAATTCCTCCCCAGCATCCCTGTAGGCCCCCTTCAGATACTGGAAGGCTGCTATGAGGTCTCCACGCAGCCTTAAGTCTTCACAAGTATGATAACCAAAATGGAAAAACAACCTCTGCCTTGAATTTCTAATGCATACTTATGATTATAAATATCAGAGTAACTAAGTAGTGAAATGTGACAGATGTTAAAATACAGTCAGATGTTAAGCTACAATGAATCACATGTTAAACTACAATGACTGGGATGTTAAAATACAATGAATTGGCTGTCAAGATACAATGTGTCACCTTGCAACATTCTTCAGATAATCTACCACTTACCCTGCACTTAAAAGATACATTTTGCCTGTGTGACTTAAACTTACACACACTGCAGACGAAAACCTCTAGTGTCGTAGGGCAAAGCCCCTACGCGAAAGAAATAAAACATAGCTAGAAGTATTAGGACTGAATTTTTTCCTTCATTTACATAAGCAGAAAGAACTTTTCTTGTAAGGGCATTTAAGCCTCAAAAACTGCACAAATGGACAATATCAGATTACAAAACATACAAGTGTATCAGACCACTGGAGACTGAAACAACCACCTCCTGAACCTGAATGGTCCCAAATAAAGATGTGTAAGAAGATGTTTTGAATCTGTAAATGTAAAGTTCCACAATAAACCTATTTCCACTGTACCACAAACTTTTTTCCATTTGGTGTTGCAAACTTTCCTGGAAGTTGGTTTTCAGTAAGCCAGGAGGAATCAAGCCAACTGCTCAGATACACACCACACTTAGATGTCTTGGCAGTTCTGTAAACATTTGGAGAATGCCAGTTATTGCCCTTCAGATCATGATCCAATTGTTCCTCTGGACCAGAAATATGCATTATAGTCTAACTGTATTTTGGCACCTACAAATATATGTAGCTATCATCACCCTGAACATCAGCCTGACACCACATAAAAAGCTAACATACATTCTTCACCAAGCTGGCAGCAGTTGTGTCACTTGGAAATAAATGTAAAGGAGCTGGTCTAATAGTCCATAGTGTTCAAAGACATGCAGAAAACAATCAAGGACCACGAAATTAAATGCAAAAGTACTTAAACTCCACTGAGAGCTCTCGTGAGGCACTCACTGATCAAAATGGAGGTTTTATATGAACATCACGGATGTGAATGTGTCAACACATGTCCTTGGTTTTCAATCATTTCTCTCTCTAGGTAGCATTAAACTGGACGGAAGACTTAATTATAGCAATAGTCAAAACAGATATTTGGATGAAAACATATCCAAAGGTGACAGACTATTTAGCATCCATTGTCTCAATCTGGCGTGTACAAAATTGACCTTCCTTCTCTAGTGAGCTACAGTAACATACCAGCTCAGCTTTAAGGTAGAAGGAATCAGCATGTGAAGACTGATGTTGCACACTCACAGCAGAAGGCACTACTGGTGAAGCTACTCACAAAGACAGGTTGAGGCACACAGCATGTAGGTTATTCTCCTAGTCTTCTGCATTTAATCATCTTCTTTTCAAAACAGCATAAAATAAATTTGCCTCAGATTCTCAACAATCTCTTTAAGATTGAAATAGACACTGGGATTATGTGCTATTCACTGAGGTATGAATATGCCCGAACAGGCATCACCTGCTTGAACACTGGTGTCACATTCTGGAGGTCACTACTGCCCTTGTTAACAGACATAAGCACAAACAATTACTTAAGACATTCAAGCCATGGATGTGCAGGCTCTCAGAAGAAGTAAATTTTTTAAATGTACGCAAAAGAGCAAAATCTGGAGAACAGGAGAAAGCGAAACAGCCAGAAAACACTGAGAAAAACCTCAGTTAAGAACACCTACAGAAACAGCTGTTCAAGCACTGTGACTAAAACTACACAAAGCTACACTAAAATACTGCAGTAAGATGGCAAGAAATGCATTCGCACTGTGTAGTTGATAAGCAAAAAGAAAAGTATGATAAATTACAGACTCTTGAGAAGGACTAACACTGCAGAGTTTAACTCTATTACATTATGCATGCCGGATGCCGCAAAATCTAAAATGATTTACAAAACCCAGATTTACAGAAACATTTTTGGATGACTGATGATTAAGGCAGATTTTCAGAAATACACCTAACACCATTTATAGTAACAGATATTAGGCACATAGGCATCTCTGAACAACCAGACTACTTTGAAAATCTGGCCATGCACAATTTGGCCTCAGAACCAGAGAAGCCACAGCCAAGATTCCCAAACCTGTGGGCTATAGAACGACTCAAACCATTCTCCTTCCTTTGGACAGGGACAAGAATTTTCTGGGGCAGACAAGGAAGGTTCCTGCTGTTTTTCTAAACTACTTCTGCAGTAACCCTTATGTCACATCACTAAGAACAGGCACCACAGCACACGGGCATCAGCACTGGTGGGCCGTAGCTGTGGCACAAGGGCCGCACCGGAGGACTCAGACAGATGAATGCAGGCCTCGCCGAGACACCCTGCAGCCACCGCCAGTTCCAGGCCAGCCGCACCCCCCGCCGCCCCGGTGGCGGTGGAGCAACGCCTACCGCCCCTTTGCTCGGCTTAGCCGGGCAGCCCTTTCCGCGGACGGCGGCTCCCCCCACACCCGGGCCCTCCCCGCGGCCGCCGCACAACCCCCAACCACCCGCCGCGGGAAAAACGAGCGGACACGCGCGCGACACCCAACCCACGCCGGCTCACCCGGATGTGGATTTCCCGCGGCTTCCCCGCCCCACCGCGAGTCACGTGCTGCCGACCCCGCGCGTTTGCAGCCAGCTATCGCTGATTGGGTGTCTGCGGGAGTGCGCGCGCGGGGAGGGCGGGAGGAGGAGGCGGCAGGCGCTGTCCCGCCGGGGGCTGTGGTAACCGGGAGCGAGGTAAGGGGCGCCTCCGCCGGGTTCCCCGGGGAGCGGCTGGTCACCCTCGGGGGCTCCCCGGCTCCGTATCGTTCTTTACCGGGCCCGGCACGGAAATCCGACACCGCTGCATCCTCTCGGCCTTTGGTTCTGCTGTCAAAATGCGGTTGCTCGCCCTACCTGCGTGGTGAATTTAGACTCGTTGTCCTGAAACAGCAGTGGCACCTTTAGTTAGTACCAATTGCCACCCTTCTGCATCATCACGGAAAAAGAATCAAGAACTGTGAAGACCAAACCATCCCCTGGTATGAACATGGTGTAAAGTGGCAAAACCTAAGGTGGAGTGTCCAAGTAGGGAATGACAAAGCGTATTGTGATGCACGGGGGAAACTGAACAGTTATCACTACTGAACTGATTCTGTGGACAAAAGTTTCAATATCTAATAAAATAGATGTGTAATGAACAGTGTATTAAAAGACATAGATTTAATAAGATATAAGATTATTGTTGAATTGAGAACAGCGCTGAGGAGAAGGAGTGCTCATTGATGAGAAGCTCAACATGATCCCTCCGTATGCACTTGCAGCACAGAAAGCTAGCTGTATCTTGGTCTGCATCAGCCCAAGGGAGGTGGTTCTCCCCCTCTGCCCTCATGAGACCCCGCCAGGAATGCCGCATTCAGCTCTGGGGTCCCCAACACAAGAGCGACACAGACAAGTTGGAGTGAGATAATGAGGGGACTGAAGCAGACCTTGTATGAAGAAAGGCTGAGAGAGTTCAGCTTGTTCAGCCTGGAGAAGAGAAAGCTCTGCGGAGGCCTTAGAGCAGCTTCCAATATCTAAAGGTGGTCTACAAGAAATCTGGAGGACTTTAATAAGAGCAAGTAGTGACAGGACAATGGGGAATGGCTTTGAACTGACAGAGGACATATTTTGATTAGACATTAGGAAGAAATTCTTCACTATGAGGGTGGTGAGGCACTGTCACAGGTTACCCAGAGAAGCTGTGGCTGCCCCTTCACTGGCAGTGTTCAAGGCCAGGCTGGACGGGGTTTGGAGCAACCTGGTCTAGTGGAAGGTGTCCGGGCCAGTGGCAGGGGATTGGAACTGGATGAGCTTCAAGGCCCTTTCCAACCCAAACCATTCTATGATACTGTGATTATGGCCCTGGAACAGTATACTGCAGCAATTTTCATATCCCATACTACATGAAGAAACATAATATAATCTGGTTTAGGCTATATGTTCCATTACACCTGACTGCAATGTTCCCAAAGGTGGCAGTAGAACATGACTTTTTGTAAATAAATAAAAAGGTAAAATAAATATAGGTCAGTTAGATAGTAGAGTTCCTTCTAATATCTACAAGGGTGAAAAAATCTTCTCAAGAGAAATGTTTGTATATTTTAATATGTGGACATTCAAGAAGTTATATAAAGTTTTAGTCAGTAGTTATTTCATTGATTTCTATACTAGAAGTGAAAATTCAGGCTCTCGGGACTTCAGGTGATCTTTTCCAGAATGGTGTTCAAAAACATTCTTCAGCCAGGCCTGCCTTCTCCTGTTTTGTCAATAAACAGAAGATTTCACTTTTATTAAGCATTATTCCTTTTGTGCAGATTAATGCAAATTTCAGTTACTGATTACTGAAGGCAGTAATCCTTAAGTATGTTAAATTTTTTAATGAATGTGTTCTGGTTTGCCTCTCTGCAACGTGTTCCTTTTCTTTTTTAGAGTTTGCCATATTGTTTTTGTAGAAGGAATAAGCATATTCTGGGCAAAAAGCCAAGAAAAAGTGGCTCTTACCAAGCTAAATTAGGTAATTACATTTTCACCATGTTTTCAAAGCACAGCTGTATCTTTTGGGTTATGAGAATTACTATATAATATATTTAACTTTATGCTTTTCTTATGTAAGGGAAAATGTCTCTTCAAAATGTAGACTTTGTTTAATTAACTCATTTTCTCCATTTTGAAAATCAGTATAAGGAAATGCATTGCTTATTATAAATTTCCCCCTTCCCCCAATTTTAATGTTTTATACTGACCATTATCAAGTGTCTTGTACTTTTTTCGGTGACAAAATTTGGTTAATGAGAAAAAAATGAAATCACTTTTATTTTCTGCTAAAACCATTGCATTAATATTGTATCTCAATACTTTCCAATACTATTTTACTGACAGGTAATAAGTATCAATGAAAGATGGTATATAGTTGCCAAATTTTCTCTGTGCTAAGAAAATGACACCACCAATGCCCTTCTGTCAGTAACTGAAAAAGGCTGATAAAAATTATGCTGTGATTTTGTTAAGTAGATATGCAGTAAGATTACAGGATCATACAGAGTTCCTTGAAGCCCATGATTTAAAAGGTCACTAATATTCTGAGACTTTCTTAGTGTCTTTATAAATTGGGTATGCAACTTCTGCATGCATGTACAGTAAAATAATACTGGTCCAAAACCAAATTAGCTAATCAGCTATTAAATATGTTTCCTTGATGTAAAGTGGTCAAAAATGTGTTGAAACAGGATGCAAAGTATCTTCTGTCTTTAATTCACGTATCAGCATTATAAGAAAGTGTCCTTAGTACACTAAAACAGTTCCAAAATGAAATCAAATATTAAGGTTTTTCACATACGACAATGTTTAGCTTGACCAAAAATCAATTTCAACTTCAATTCTGCACAATTTAGATTTTTGTAATACAAGCTTCTATCTTCGGTTGTTTATTTTTTTTTCTCCCAAATTAACTCAAGTGGGAAAAGTCCTTCAAGTCTATAATTTTCTAAATATCTGTATTTTATGGTTTCCTTGGGGTCTGATGTGGTTTTGTTTTTATACTCGTCTTCCCTGCTGAGTTGCCACACTGTAGCCCTTGAAATATGCTGCTGGTGGTGAATCTACTTCAACTTTTACTTCAGCTGACCTGTCTCAAGGCACTCATCAGTTAATTTTAGAAGTCTCCCTGGATAATGCCCCTTATATTTTAGGAGTATTTCCTATTGTAATGCACCTCGAGGAAATATAACAAACAAAAAAAATCCTATCTAACACTGCAGTTCATTGAATACCCCAGTTTGGACAGACCACCAGTATAACTTGTTGTCATTCTTCCAAAGTAGTACTGATTCTTGACAGCTACCATATTTTGAGAAACTAAGGGATGAAGGAACAAAAGGAAAAGAGCAAATCCATTTGTCTCACTATCAGAATCATTCCCTGCAGCCTGAAATAGATAATTTAATAAATGCAAATTCAGCAAATAAAGAAAAAGCTAGAGGAGGAAACACATTACAAACTATACACTAATTACAGTTTTTTAAAGGAATTCGGAAGTAGAAGCTGTATAGGAGGCTCATATTTTGGTTTAAGATTGAAGGTAGCAATTAACAAAAGGTTGACTGCTTATGTTTGGTAGCTGTACTCAACTTCAAACTATGCTTCTCTCTAGTGTTTTATGAAACATTTAAAAAAAAAAAGCGCTCTTGTAATACTTAGATTACTGAAAAACATTAAGTCCACTATAACTGAACCCGAAATAGCTTGAACCAATCTAAGACCAAACACTTCTTAATTTGGGCTGAATGTTATTGTTATGTCTCCTAGAGAGCAAATTTTATAGAGATTCCTGTCAGTTCTGGAACTTTTTTTTTAATTGATTCAGCTTTATATGGTAACAGTAGGTGGTTATAAATAAGTGGGTAATACCACCCTTCAGTATAGCAGTTTGTGTGGTATGAAGCCAGTCATATTTGTCGGTCTTCCAAATCAAACAATGTTTGTAATGTTACTGGACTGGATAAATCTTTGTAGAGAAATAAGAAAAACTCTGTTGAACAAGCATGATTTATAAAGTAGACATGGATTGATTTACCACTATTAAGTGCCATCATTAACCTAAAAAGCTGTCCTCCTTGCTGGGGGAAATTGGTGATATAACTGATAACAAAACTAAGTATTCACTTCTTTTCTTATTCTGAAGCAGATTGAGACAATCTGACATAGGACAACAAGTTACTTTATATGAAAAATTACCACTACTTTAATACTGCACCATTCAACATTTTCAAATAGAGTCAAGGCTTACAGCATCTAAAGTCCTTATAATCTGTGTTTTGGTGATCAGCAGGAAAGAGTGAACCAATTTCAACTTGCTAGCAAGCAAGCTACTGTTTCCGTGATAAGAGCCAACATACTCCCTCACTCTTGTGGTTAGTATTAGGAGCAAGATCCAAAGTTAAGCTTTGAATGTGCAGGAGAAGAAAATACTTTGTCAGCCCTGAAACTAGCTGTCAGGTATAGAATAATAATTAGCCTGTTTCATCAACTTAAATCTCTGATTTTTTCCCATTTGAGATCACTGCTTCCATCACCACCTAGTTCAGTTGTCATTGGTGTTACCATAATTGGCAATAAAGCAAAAAGCATACTTGTTTTTAGACCACAACCCACCTGCTTAGAAAAATTCTGCAACCATTTTCTGCCCGCTTAAAAAAAGACACAGTCAAAGCATACTGTATCTGTTTGCCTTTTAAGGTTTTATGGGAAAAATCATGGTATAGAAATCCTTATGATTTCCTTCAGGAAAATTTATTAAAAAGTAAATATTTAAAACTCCTGCTGTTATACAAAAAATCCTGCTATTGAGTACTTTTTTTTTCCTCCAACCTATTGTCATATATTTCTCCTTTTGGATGACAGTAGGAGAACCTGGAGGAC